ACCTCACAGTTAGTCCTCGACTTTACGGCCACATTTGAGCCCAACATTTCTGTTGCTAAGCAAGACAGTCATTAAGGGAGTTTTGCCCCATTTCACGGCCTTTCTTTACGACCAGTTTCATAAATACATGCCAGTGGCCGAGGACAGTCCCACCTCGCTACTCGACTGCTTCAAAACGGGTCGAATTCAGTGTCCGGTGCGCTTAGAAACAGGAAGTTTTTCTCCCAGGAAGAACTTTCCGGCATCGGCTGCCTCGTGATTCGCTATTTTTTCCGGCTGGAATAGCGGGTCACGTGGTTTTCCTGGTACCCGTTGCTTTTAGTGTTGGTTGCGTCTTCCGGAACAAATTATCGACGGACACCAAGATACCATTATATCTGAATTTTGATTATCTGACCCTCCCAAGGATGTTGCCACGGTCATTAAGTGTGAAAAATGGTCCTGAGTCTCATTTTTTCCCCAGTGCCGTTGTAACTTTAAAGCAGGGGTCTTCCAACTGGGCCCTTTGATGACTTGTGGACTTCAACTCCCAGAATTCCTCAGCCAGGAGGCTTTAAGACAGGGGTCTTCCAACTTGGCCCTTTGATGACTTGGGGACTTCAACTCCCAGAATTCCTCAGCCAGGATGCTTTAAGACAGGGGTCTTCCAACTTGGCCCTTTGATGACTTGGGGACTTCAACTCCCAGAATTCCTCAGCCGGGACGCTTTAAGACAGGGGTCTTCCAACTTGGCCCTTTGATGACTTGTGGACTTCAACTCCCAGAATTCCTCAGCCGGGACGCTTTAAGACAGGGGTCTTCCAACTTGGCCCTTTGATGACTTGTGGACTTCAACTCCCAGAATTCCTCAGCCGGGACGCTTTAAGACAGGGGTCTTCCAACTTGGCCCTTTGATGACTTGTGGACTTCAACTCCCAGAATTCCTCAGCCAGCGTGCCTGGCTAAGGAATTCTGGGAGTTGAAGTCCACAAGTCATACAAGGCCCAAGTTGGAAGACCCCTGCTTTAAACCTTCACTAAATGACCGTTATGACTACCTGTCATAAAATTCTGATTGGCAGGCAAAAACCAGCCCTAAGAGAAAATGGCCCTGCTGTCCTCCATTTACGACGCAGGAGCTTCGATGCCCAATTCCAAACATGGTTTAAGGGTCCTGCTGGCAAGCAGCAAGCCTAGTTCTATTTTTAGAACAACTTCGTGCCTCGCTGGGCTCCCGGGTTTTGGGCCGTCACGCAAGGCCGACTGGCCTTTGCTGGCACGTGCCCTCGGCCTGCCCGGTTTCCCATGATCCCCCGTGAAACTTATAGCCTGCTTGTCAACTTGGCGTCAAACAGCTGGGAAGACCGCAAATCAAATGTTCAGCCCTGTCTCCCCCTCCCTTCAGGGATTTGACCGAAGCCCGGGCCAAGAGAGAGCAGTGGGGAATAGGAGGGGGGGAGGAGGGGGAAAGTCCATGAGAGAACTGTGCTGCACCATGTACTCAGGAAATGGGAGCCCTGGGATTCCCCCCAGGGCCGGTTCTGGGAATTCTGGGAGTGGAAGCCCACCCCTCTTAAAGCAGGCTGGCTGGGGGATTCTGGGAGTGGAAGTCCCCCAATCTTAAAGCAGGCTGGCTGGGGGATTCTGGGAGTGGAAGCCCACCCCTCTTAAAGCATGCTGGCTGGGGGATTCTGGGAGGTGAGGTCCATTGCTTTTAAAGCATGCTGGCTGGGGAATTCTGGGAGTTGAAATCCTCCCCTCTTAAAGGATGCTGGCTGGGGAATTCTGGGAGTGGAAGCCCATTCTTCTAAAAGGACTCTGGCTGGGGAATTCTGGGAGTTGAAATCCTTCCCTCTCAAAGGACGCTGGCTGGGGAATTCTGGGAGTTGAAATCCTCCCCTCTTAAAGGATGCTGGCTGGGAGATTATGGGAATGAAAGTCCACCCATTTTAAAGCGTGGCTGGCTGGGGAATTCTGGGAGTTGAAGTCCACTCACCTTACATTTGTCAAGGCTGAGAAACAGTGCCTTAGCTGTTTCTTAACCTGCTCCCAATGCCTGATTTTATGGTTCACACAGAGAGAGAGAGACGGGAGAGTCAGCCCCTGACTTGGAGACTCAGCCAGGATCAGCGCAAAGCAGTTTCCCACAATGCCCTCCGATGGGGAGGGGAGGCTCCTTCACCTACCGTCCCACTCGACGTTCGGGCTCTTTGAAGATCCGCAGGGACTGGAGGACCTCCGGAAATCCACCTCCATCTGCTCTTGTCTCTGGCGTTGCTGTTCTTCCAGGATGCTGGACTTGTGCATAGCCTTGATGTGCTGATGGAGGAGGGTGTAGCCACTGGTGGGGAAGCCGGGGATGATGGGCAGCCGTTCCTGGATTACGACCGGGGACAAACACAATCGATAAATGCTCAAGGACAGGTAATTCTCAACTTACAGTAGGGGTCCTCCAACTTGGCCCTTTTAGGACTTGTGGACTTCAACTCCCAGAATTCCTGAGCCAGCATGGGGGAACTATG